GAAACTAAGAGGGCTAGAGACTTAAATTCGCAGGGTGTGTGAAACTGTACATGAACTCGCTTAAGCCAAAGTTTAGTATTCTTAGGTCATGACCTTCGGGTAGAACAAGGTGACACAAGGTCGAATTCCAGGTTGGTCTCCAACGGCCCCTGGAACCTAAATAACTGTTCGAAGCAAAAAGCCACATCCTCATATAAGGTCATTGACCTCGTTTGACCTATTGAAGGCCATGGCGACAAAAATCATACAAGACCATCTTGAGTTCTGCATTTGGATAACCGACATAGAGTACGCCCGGCAGTATGTTCCTGAAAACAAATTGTTGACCTGGGTCATTCTGGGTCAGTGATTTATCCTGACTTTTAAGAAGTATATGGAAGGTGTACAATACGGTTCCCGTTATCAATAAATTCGCAATGGGCACCAGAAACTACCCTATACAGCAAGCCCTAGAGCAATAAACCAGGCTGCTTTTGGCCCTGGTCTGACCTTCATAGCTTATCTTATCTTACCCTTACTTATCCAGGCTAATGTAATTTGCTCATCCAATTGTTGTGTTGCGTAGGGAAGAATCTCAGAGATGTATGGCTTCGACTAACACTCCGTTGTTAGATCAATTTGGACGATTCCTCAGAAATTGCCTTCGCTGAAACCATTGCCTAACTTTGACCTGGTATAGGTCAGCGATCTTACAAGGTACACCTAAATATATGATGCCAGACAATCCGCTATCCAACTGTCTACAGCTATGCAAGTTTAAGCACGGCTACACCACGTCATTCGGAAACCATTCCGGAAAAACCTTCGGGGGGTCAATTTGACCCCCATGCGAGCACCTCTCAAAGCTTGATATTCCTAGGTTACAACCTTGAGGTAAAGTGAGATCAACAACCCCAAACTACAGATTGGTGTCTCGAATGTCATCAGACCTCTTCATGCAACTGCCGTGAAGCGAGATGCCTGTTCCTGCCAAATGCCTTCAAAATCGCTCCTATTTTGTCTTCCGAATAAGCGCCAGGAGTTATGCTAGGCGGCATTTTCCTTAAACAAAAAAACGTTGACATGGGTCATTGAAGGCCAGTGACCTACTTAGATCCTCAAAAAGTCCATGGAACATGTCTGTTGGGCTCTTGTTTTTAGCAAACTGGAGTACCATAAACTGCCTCATAAACCAATCCCTCGCGCAATATAGCAGTTTAGTTTTGGCCTCGTTCTGACCTTCGTACCAGACCCTAGGTGAGTGACATTGGCTGTTTCTCTAAATTCAATTGATGTATCGCCTAAGAAACTATGTCAGATATGAATGGTCTCGTCCAACACTCCGTTATTGCATCACATTGAAAGATTCTCTAGAATACCCTTCGCTGACAGCCACGGCCTGACCTTGACCTGTCATAGACCAGCGACGTTGTAACAAGGTACATCTCATTTCTTACGTCAAAAGATCGCTATTAAATTCTCAACAGCCATGCAAAAATTAACCCGGCTACGCCGCGCCATTCGGAAGAACCTTCGAAGGGGGGGGGGGGCAATTTGATCCCCACCTCCAACCGAGGGAGTGTTTGGCAGCAAATACGTCCATTGATGTAGTGTTCTCGCGCCGATTTACAACTGACACATTGGTGCATTGGTGTTTATGCGTTTCATTTATTCAGCAGCCTATCGTCGACTGTATTCGCCGTATTCTGAACTGTCAACTAAATTGCACGGAGAGAATGGTGCACCCAATGAGGCTTGCTCCCAGAAATCATTATTCCAAATCGGGATTTTTACACCATGGATGAACTACGGGCTTCCTACATTAACACGCGACCGGTTGGCCGCCTTCACTCGGGTGGGTGTCAATTTGACCCCGCCTGAGATGTCAAAACTAAGATAGCGAGAGCCACTAAATTGACAGGGTGAGTTAGCCTATGTGTGAGCTTACTTGTGTCGAAACTAGATGTGCCTAGGTCATGACCTTGGGGTCAAACAAGGCCAAACAGATCTCCACGTGCAACCGTCATGAAACAAGATACTTGTTCTAACGACAGGTCAATGACATCCATTTTAAGTCAGTGACATTGTTTGACCTTAAGCAGGTCAAGGTGACTAAAAGCCTACGAGGTTGCTTCTATTTTGCCATTCAAATAAACGTTAGGGGTTACGGTAGGCAGCATCCTACTATCTACTACTGTTATGCTATTTATACTATCCCAGAGATGTATGGTTTCGTCTACTACTCCGTTATCGCATCAGATTGAACGATTCCCTAGAGATGACCTTCGCTGGGAGCCAAGGCCTGACTTGAGCTGCCATAGATCAGCGACCTTACAAGGTAAGTCTAATTTGTAAGATGCCAAAATATTTTTAGTTCAAGTACCTACAGCTATGCAAATTCTGGCATGGGTGCGCCGCGCCATTTAAAAATGACTGGAAAAATATTTGTGGTTTAGATCAAAATAAACAAGCTGTTCCAAAAAGCGCTGATATTTTAGCCGCCGTTGCTAAACAGAAAGGTACGAATACGTTACTGCCAGCTAAAATGTCGTTCATATACCTACCTGTGCCAAGTCAGCGTCATTTAGCAACACACACAAGCATTTATGTCTTAAATGGGCCTGGTCTACCTGTGTGTGATGGCAAGCATTCTGAACGGGTAGGTCTAAGGTTTGGCTCCTTTTTGCGCGTGGGGTGGATCCTAGTTCTGCACATGACCTGCTGGTTTACCCAAGGAAGAGTCCCTAAAAAAGCAACACAGCACTACAAGTTAGAAATGTGCAGCATTTATACAGACAAGTGTTCCATGAAAATCAGTTGGTAATGGGCCTTTGGGCCGTCGTCCAAAAGGCTATCTTTTAAACTCTATTGAGTTGGATGCATTTGGTAAATATTGTCTCATTTGAACGGGTGATATGCTTGCCCCATTTTTATAGCGCTACCTTTCTTGGTTTAGGTTCTAGGAAATTGTGTTAAGAGCCCAACCGGCCGTCAAAAAAGGCAATGGCCGTTCCATGGTCAGTTATGAGTTGGAGCGTCCAGGGGCCCATGCACACCTGCAGACCCCGCTGTGGATTCTGCAGGTGTTGCTGGGTTAGCTGCTGCAGACTTGGAGTGCCACATTTAAGCCGGCAGACCCAAAAAACCGCGGGTTAAAAGCTCAAAGACGGCACTTCTGGTCCGCAGTCGAATCCTGCAGGTTCATCGACGGATTCTGAGGTTGTCATGTGGTCTGGACTATAAAGACAGCACTTTGGAGGGTATTTCGCCCGCAAAGTGCGAGCATGCGGGTTTAAAACCAATGCTTTTAGTCCGCAATAGCTGACAGACTGACTTTTGGTCCCCACTGACACCAGAGTCTGTAGCAGATTCTGCAGCCAGCGTCACTGATAACGTTGAGACTAACTGAGCTACCCATCCGGGAGCGTTTTCGTGCTCCAGGTTATGTCAAATTGGCACTTGTCAAACACCGAAAATTTGCGCGGAAGTCATTCCCATAAATCGAGGACGGCTTGCTTTCAAAGGCGTTGTCGGTTAAGCGTTGACTTTTGGCTTAACTCTTCCCAGCTCAGGCGTCGGGGGTACCGCCGCAATGTCGGGCGTACAGCATGGGGCTGGCTGCCCCAAAAAGAACTACGTGTGTGGGATTGGATGGTGAGGGGAAGGGGGGGGGGGGGAGGCACACCGCCTTACACGACGGCACAGCCGGTGACCGGGTAGAGCTCACCCGCCGGCCCGCAACGGTAGCGAGGTGCCGCGACGTGCCGGGCCAGACTCGGCTCGCCCTGATGCAGCGACCGGCGCCGTGTCCCGGGCAGCGGCCTTGCCGCTGTGGGCCGGCGCAAGCCGAAACTGGCGCCGCCGTCGCAGCAGCCAGCGGTTGGTCCATGTCAGGGCCGAGCCCCCGGCCACGGCGGCGCGGCACGTGCGCAGCGTCATGTGCGGGCCGAGCCGTGCCGGCAGGCAGCTTCGGGGCCGGGCGGAGCGGCCGCCGCCGGCGCCGTCCTCCACACCATCGTCTGGGCGGCTGTCCTCCAAGGCCCGGCCGGCCAACACCGTGCGATTTTTCGTTTAGATAGAGTTGCGGGTGCGGTTCGCCTGGCCGGCCGTGGTCCGCCCCTCCGGCGAGGACGAGACGAACGACCGGCGCGGCCGGCATAAACCTCTGTACGCACACGCACATACTGATAGGCGGCTTTTACTGCCTTTCGTACAGCTTCACTGTAAGAGACTTGGTGAAGCGATTCTTGACCTGGCGATGCCCAGCCCATAACGTGTCACTGCTGGTCCTCGCACTGAAAGTACAACTTCGGCATCATTAGCAACGTGTTTCCGTATGCCCTGGAAGCCGTTTGAGCGTCTTCTAACTGTGAAACCACTGAGACAGCAAAGGAGAAAGTGCTGCTCGTATTAGCTGCTCACATTCACATTTGTGACGGGAAAAGTGTCTGTCCTAGGACCTGTAAACGACAGGACGCCCGAGAGAAAATCGTCAGCCCTAAACCTGGCAAGGTATTCTTTTGACGCCCAGCAGGCAAGGCAGCAGCAGACGACCCCAAGACCGTCAAAAGCTGGAATGATAAAGATACTTCGAGGTGAAAAGTTAGGCTGAAGAGATTGCCAAGACACATCTGCCAATGGTAAAAGCTTGCAGCGATGTTAATGGCCCAAAGGGATGATAAGAAAATCCTCCAAGGCCTCCAAGAAAATCTCGGGCACCGAGGAGTCGTGGGAACGGCGCAATCCGGATCCGCTTCCATTCCCCTCCCGAGTCATCCTATGGGTCGCCAGAAGCAACGAAGAGGCGCTCAGGCGACCGACAAACGCTCCCCCGGGCAGAGGACCAGCGGTGGCGGCCGAGAGGCCAACGGGAACTGTAAAATACGCAGTCAACACCCGCACTGGCTTGCCATGTGCTATACGCCGTGTTTGAGCACAGTACCATTTCGCAGAGTGGCATTTTGCTATGAACTCGTGGCTGACAGGCCAGTAACCGATGTAAAACCGCAGCACACCGCAACCAGCTTGGGAAAAGTTTATTTACACGAAGAAACAAAGTTGACTAAATATCTGTATAAGCAACAATGATATAATAATCACAATTCATACACATGGTCTTCAAAGGCTAAGACGAACCACAAGACACACGCACATTGGACTGAATCTGACCGCGCAGGCAGTGGTCCAATCCATTGACCCCAGCGGGGAGGGGTCAACAAGCACCGCCCTCCCCGACCCGACGGATGTGAAAAATACCGAAACACGCACATCTGTGTTTAACACATACAAATGCTTTCCTGTTTTACCCAGAAATCATGACGCGTCCTGCGATAACAGCTACGGACAATTGGAATTCGATTGGCCCGGACGCAGTCAACTGACAAGAGCTTGCCGTCAGAGGCTTTGCGGTCAGCTGGCTCGCCCGGCTGACCAACCGACAAAAGGGCTTAACAGCAGGCACGACTATGTACAGGGACGCCGCGCAGATAGAAAACGAATCATCAACAAATGCCCGGAACGGCAACGGACCACACGGACATGAAGTCAAAACACGCATAAATTCTGATGATGACACACCTAGCTTGGTCTCCGGTACCTTCACGCTGGAAAGAAGAGAGACAGGAAGAAGAAGGAAGGAGAGGGGCATCGAGCGGCGATACCGCATGCAGGGGAAAGGACATGAGCCCTTTGTCCTTTCTCCTAGCTAGTGCGGCATCATCTCAAATGCTTCACATTTGTACTCTGCACTAGAGATTCTCGTCAAATCAACAAACCAGCATGCATGAGCAGAGCGGGCGGCAAACTGAAATCGAGCGGCGCCAGCGGGGCGGCCCGTCGCGCACGCAGGAACGCCCGCCGGGCGCCGGACACCGCCGCGCGGGACTGCACTCCACGCGCTCGCCCGCCGCCAGCTCTGCAGGGCAGGCATGTGTGTGCGCATGTTTGTGTCGGCGTGGAAGTACGTGCACACGAGTGCCAGGGAGGGAGAGAGACCCTGGCAACTCTTTCACAGAGATGAGGAGAAATGAAGACGATGAGAGTGAGGAACTGTGGTGCAGTTGGAACACACATAAGCACTTTGCTACGTTGTGACTTAGTGGCGAGTGAGGAGTGCTCTGTGCGTTTTGAGAGCAACATGGCTACTTCCGATATCATATTCAACACAGGTTAGGTAGAGAACTTAAATGAGTTTAGCGCCAGAGTAAATATTTTCTACCTGTTTTCAATCATAATGAAGGGACATAAATATTCAGGGTTAATGGAAGACAATACAAATTTGGGTAAAGATTCACTGATATCGTAATTAAACCCATAAAAGCGATCAGCTCCACGGCACGACTTCAAAAGCCCTGATATTTTGGCACAAGCTTGAACATCCACACCTCTGGAACGCACAGACGCACTCCCGGAACGCACAGACGCACTGGCTGTTATGCAAGATAGCTCACGAGGCGCGACTCCGCTCCGGAGAAGCGATATACCCTGCACCTTGGCACAACAACAACGATAATAAACAACAAGCACCCACAGCTAATGATTAAAGATGGACTCTGGATAGAAACTCTACAATGTGGCAGGCTCTCTGGCCGCTGCACCCGACGCAGGGGTATAGAAAACTCGGCTTGAAGACGTCATGCTACCTCCCGCAGTCAGACACGAGAACAAGACAGGGGCTGGGTGTCGGTGGACTCGGACGCGAGGTGGTCCCACTCTGAGGTAATCTTTCAGCGCAAAGTGCATTCACTCTAGATGTCTAAGTTCCCTGTGGCACCCCTCTATCGGTGGCTGCAGAAGATAAGCGTAGACTTGGCTGCTTGGTCGATCGCACGGCACCATTACTTGTTCCGGATGAACCGGAAAAGGCCACTGGCGCGTGAGGTGGAGGGCGGTGCCATCAGCATCGGCACCTGGTTCTTGTGGGTGATCTGGATCTGTGGAAGAAGGCCGCCAGTCACACAGGCCTTGGCGGGCCAGCGCGTACTTCCATCAATGATGCCATGGTCCATGAATGGTGCATGAACCCTATAAAACATGACATCATTCTATTTGGCCGCTCCATTGAATTGTTGGCGGTTGCGAAGGCGACCTGGCCTACTGTGGACCAGGGTGACGAAACTGCGTGCGCAGGCCTCACGAGATCTCTTTAAAAGGATACAACGCATGTCGCCGCGCACCCTTTTATGGAGCGCCAGCGACTACAGAGGCCACACTGGCACTTAGGAGCCATGGCTCAACGGGGGTTCGAATTGTGTACCCAATGGCCCTCGTGGCAGCGACTAACTCTTTCATCGACACAGCAAGGTTCCTTATTGGGATTGAAAGTCATGTCCCATGCTAGACTAGTGGTCTTCAGCTGTCTCAGCAACACGCCTGCGTACCTGCGTGTAAAACCGTAAAGCCGCTCTACAAGCACTATGCGATTCGGCCCCTTTCCAGCAAAAGAAATACCAGTGAGCTCATTCAGTTCAAAATTCCGCGCCCTTATTGTTGAAAGAGCATATCAGAGCTACCTTCCAGACAAGATTTCGGAGGCTTCTCTGGTGAGGTTGTTACGACCTGTGACTGCGGGAAGTTCGACTTGAAAATGCACTGGGGACTTGAGGGACACCGCCTCTAGAAGTGATCTAGCGTTGACCACGGGATACTGTTGAGGCCACAGCTCTGACAGACTAGACCCCATCAGTAACAGCCTGCACCGCCACCTTCAGTACACTTAGAGGCGTTTTTCTGTGGTCAGTTTTCCCCACGCATAGCCTTGGCATTTTGAGCTCGCAGCATATGAAAACGATGAGGACATAAGATGGTCACGGGGAAAACTTCGATGTAAAACGCTGTCTGCCGTCACTTGCTAACGTCGACATTACATTCTTCGCCACCCGGCTCAAAACCAAACAAAGACTGCTTGCGACACTCAAATCGGATTGTCCCTGCTTCTCTCGACCATTCGAAAGCTTGGCTTCCTTCCAGCCCCACATCGTAGTGGTACGCTTTCAGATGGCAAGATACAAGCAAAAACTGGCCGCTATGGCCCATCTGTTTCAAAGCCACCAGTTTTTTAAAGAAATTTTACAAGATTGCCTGCGCCGATTTAGCTACGGTGGATGTGGTAGTTGTTATTCTACAGCACACAAGGCAATTATATACAGCGCAAGTATTCGGACATAAAATGCCACCGTGAATACTTCATTTTCCATAAGAAAATATCATGAAGAGCCGCGCAAACAAATTTTTGTTCTACATCTCTGTATCTGCGAACCAGGCACCGGAAACGAAAGTTCTGTTTTAGTGATGGCAGAAATGCCATTGCTTGGGGTAGTAGGCATTCAAAACACTATCTCGTTTCCTTGAAGTACTTCGCATCCGGCCGATCCGTGTCTCCTCTATGTCAGTCCTCTCCAGGTCCCTCTATTCGTGTAAAAATCTGTTCAAATCAGCGGTAACGCGAAGCACGATATCTGTCTGAACTGTCTAGCACATTCGCAAATGCTCGTTTTGTTGCTAAATAAATTGAGCATAGCGGAATGTCCCTGACCCTTATTCATTGCTTAACAGTGGGGATATTCGTTATTCAAAAGCACCTCCTCGAAAAGCGAGCAAATGATCAAGGCCAAGAATAGTACCACTTTTGCAGTTTTTTTATTGAGCGTACAACACTGTAACGCTAAGGTACTGCCACAATGCAGGCATCACCATGGTGCACTCATCCCGATAGGTACTGCCACAATACGGGAACCAGCATGGGCACTGATCCCGATAGGTACTGCCACAATACGGGAACCAGCATGGACACTGATCCCGATAGGTACTGCCACAATACGGGAACCAGCATGGGCACTGATCCCCATACCGTCGCCCTGAAAATCAAAAGTTTTCAAAAATATTCCATTGCAAAGAGTAGCGGAAAGAACGAATGGCTGGCACAAAACTACAGACAAATCAGGGGCATCGCCCACTGTTAAGTAATCAACTGAATGCATCGTTTCAGTGGGCCCAACGGCTTCGATGACGACTGATGTTAGAGGACGTCTCTGGAGATGCAGACGTCCTAAGGCGTCTCTGTGCCCGCCGCTGTGATGCCGTGCCCGTAGAGGCCGGTTGGGCGGAGTGGCCCAGTCGCATGTTCCCAAGCTGCACGCCCAACGACTGACGACAGTCATGGGGCATGGCAGACCGCACGGCGACCGACCACTGGCAATCCCTGGCCGTGCCTGGGGCGACCGTAGCCACTGTACAGGGTGGGACTCGAGACTATTAGCCCAGTCGTAGTGAGGAGGGATGACCAGGAATGGTCGGGAGAGCAGAGCTCGCACGCGGGACGGACCGGCACCGCCGATCGGCCGCACCCCCATCCCCCCCGCGGCTGAGGGCACTGACCGTGCATGGCGGCTGCATCCAGGGTTCACCGTCGATCTGCATGGGGAACCGTTTTCGCGTGCGGACCACCACGGACGAGCACTGGGCCAGCCGGCGGCCGGAGGCGCGCAGGCCCGTCTTCACCTGGCCCATGTGCAGACAGTTCTCTAGACCGATCACCTCGATCATCTTGTCACCGATGTCTGGCGGACCGGAACACGGATGTCAGCATCCGGCATCGCACGGGAAGACAGGGCAGGCGCAATAGGCGGATTTTGGTGAGAGTGTTTCGATCGAGCTCAGTTGTCCGTTCCGAGGCGGTGAGCCAGTAACGCGCCGCCTCTCAGGCCCACTCGCCGTTCGTCAGTAGCAACATCAAGATAGTGAGCCCAGTTACCGCCTCCTGAATCGAAACCCTGTCGGTGGTCGGCCCATCGGATCGGGTCGAGACCTTGTCAGCGGTCGGCCGATCGGATCGGGTCGAGACCATGTCAGCGGTCGGCCGATCGGATCGGGTCGAGACCCTGTCAGCGGTCGGCCGATCGGATCGGGTCGAGACCCTCTCAGCGGTCGGCCGATCGGATCGGGTCGAGACCATGTCAGCGGTCGGCCGATCGGATCGGGTCGAGACCATGTCAGCGGTCGGCCGATCGGATCGGGTCGGGTGGTTGCGAACATTTCCAAATACACCTACCAACCGATCTGCGTCATGTTTGGGTATCCCTTCAGGCGGCTCCCGCTCGAATTACGATAATTCTTCAACCTAGTTTTGCATCGTATTTGACGGTTCTAGTAACTCTACTTTAGCGAAATTGCACGGCTTTGACATTCGTCGGTGATAAGTCAAAGCAAGGGAAAGGCCCACAAAATGAGACGCACATAGGTACTCAAACACACAAAAGTAAAAGCAAGAGCACATTGTCCAAGAATCAAACGAGCATCACACACGCATGAATAACATGAAATAAGGTAACGCTGTCCGCAATATGTCGCCTCATCTTATCTCTCGAGGAGCCTGCACTTTAATCGAAGAATGTCGAAAGCCAACGATTGGGAAGGCGGGGAAGGGAGCGTGACACTCGATACCATCCTGAAGAAAAATATTTCGGCCGTCACTTGGTGAGACCACAGTCATGCATAGGTCTTAGCCTCCAAGCTCATAAGCCGTGCTGCAATTGAACTTAGAAAAACGAACTTAGTCTTGCCTCTCCTTGAAAATGGACCATACCCCTCTTCAAACCGATCTCGGCACATGCTGAGGTCGAAAGCCTGTGTTAGGGCTTACTACGAATTTCATGTGGCTTTAGCAAATGGGACACACAGAAGTGGAACGTGGAATGCCTCCGGGTCGGGCGGTAAGTGGGCTACGATGGTGGTCAATAGGCACAGCAAGAAAAGCCATACACACGGTCATACTTGGCTACCCTATATACCTTATGGAGCATGTGCACGTCACTAGCAGGCGGCTTTAAAAGGCGGCGAGCAATAAGCCGAGTCTGGATTATTTTTAAAGAGAGTTGTTTTGTCTTAGCCCCAATGTGTCATTTTTGTAAATATATAAATGCATAATATATAAAGAATTCCGGCCAGCCAAATGCCCAGCTGTTAGTTATACCGCATGTCCGCGTGCGCTATGCCTTACATCGGCGATTAGGACTGTCATGATAGGCTGCTGATTCAGCTTGACATACCCTGAATGGCGCAGCTGAGATCAAGCGAATTGAACGAAATGCTGCTCAGTTCGCGGTCTCTGTCCTGCTTTTTTCGCTTCTTGGACTTCTTCTTGCCCTGGTCTCCCCAGAGGTTAGAGCCGCCGTGGGTGTACGGAATGTTGAGCAGGAGGATGCCCTGAAGTGACGGTCCGTTCGCCAGGTCCAGCGATACGCCGTCACACTGCACACAAGAGTTAAGTTACTTCACATCCCTGTTTTGGCGGGTTCGGAGGGCGACGCCTTTCATCGCATTATCACATCGCGTTATTGTAATACGAAATAGAGACTAATGCTCTGACGTGTCGTCACACACCTTGCGGTTCGCTGAGCACACATGTATCGCTCAAATGGCGAGATTTATGGACTTGCAATTACCACTATTCCGCAAGGGAGGAATCGATTATGATATGTAATTCGAAGCGGTTGTTACAAATTTGAACAAAACCCCGAATGTTATTTCGACACAGTTAAAATCAAGAATCCGACTCAGGTCTTGTTTTGTTTTAAGTGTTTGCCTATCGCGTTGGACGAAGGTGCTCTTTACTTGCCGTAGCTCCCGAAGTAAATGAGTTATGAGCATACACATACATACACTTGCCTTTTCACCGATTGCTCTCTCGATTTACCCCATTAATCTACGTGCATTGGGAAACTTTACGCAAAGTCGAGAACGCCGGGCAGGAAAAAAGACTTGGTGACATTTTCAAAATACACCCGAGTGGCAAACCACTGTCCGGTGTACCTTTACTCGTAACGACCAATTACCATGATGTCAATTTCCTCGTGAAGATTCTTGCATGATGCCGTAAACGTTTCTGACGTAGCGAACTCAAAATACCAAAGTTTGTTCTTCACTCTTGAATTAAACTTTTCCGGATTTTTCTCTCGTTCAAGGTGAAACTTGACGCATATCGCGGCATCCTGTAACACATTCGGTTAGGTGAAAGAGCATCTCTGAACATTGACAACCACGATACGGAACCCCGGGCTGACGCGTTACCGATCGTGCGGGAGGCCATGGCCATTAAGTGCACCAAATGACCTAGTTGCCTTACGAAAGACAATACAAGATATGACTACTCAAAAGCATAACTGCCGTCTTTTTCTATCTACACCATATCTACGCGAACAATCAAAACGACCAGAATCGTGGCCCCATCTGTCCCACAGCGCATAAGTCACTGCCGCCAAACTCACCTGTCAGTTCTACCGCAACCAAATCATATCTTTTCCATAACAGTGAGATTGATTCGCCCACACACCGCCCTTCCATGATATGTAAATTACCGATCAGTTTTGATGATCTCCACTTACTGGAATAGGCCATCGAGCGCCATAATCCTCCATCCATTAGCGCATAACCTTGGATGCGACCACGGTGAGCCCCCAATCATGCATATCTTAATTCTCAGCAGTCATTGTGACGAAACACCTGACTGACCCAGTAAGTTAATCAGCACTCACCACGCCTATGGAGAAGTAGTTGTTGATGATGTTGTAGGGGATCGGCTCTCCGGGCGCCTCGTCGTCCTGCACCTGGTTATCGGACACCTCGATCCGCCAACGGTCCATCATCACCGGCGTCGCCAACTCGATTTTCTGACAACCCAACGTCACGCTGGTAGGCTTAGACTGCACATCGCATCTCGCAATATATCACCGACACTGCCTGCAACACGCGCAGTGTGGTGAGCACGAGTCATACCCGCGTAGTGTTGTGACGCGCAGTGTGATGAGCACGGGTCATGCCCGCATAGTGTCGTGACGCGCAGTGTGACGAGCACGAGTCATGCGCGCGCAGTGTGATGAGCACGAGTCATGCCCGCGTAGTGTGATGAGCACGAGTCATGCCCGCGTAGTGTGATGAGCACGAGTCATGCCCGCGTAGTGTGATGAGCACGAGTCATGCCCGCGTAGTGTGATGAGCACGAGTCATGCCCGCGTAGTGTGATGAGCACGAGTCATGCCCGCGTAGTGTGATGAGCACGAGTCATGCCCGCGTAGTGTGATGAGCACGAGTCATGCGCGCGTAGTGTGATGAGCACGAGTCATGCCCGCGCAGTGTGATGAGCACGAGTCATGCCCGCGTAGTGTGATGAGCACGAGTCATGCCCGCGTAGTGTGATGAGCACGAGTCATGCCCGCGTAGTGTGATGAGCACGAGTCATGCCCGCGTAGTGTGATGAGCACGAGTCATGCCCGCGTAGTGTGATGAGCACGAGTCATGCCCGCGTAGTGTGATGAGCACGAGTCATGCCCGCGTAGTGTGATGAGCACGAGTCATGCGCGCGTAGTGTGATGAGCACGAGTCATGCCCGCGTAGTGTGATGAGCACGAGTCATGCCCGCGTAGTGTGATGAGCACGAGTCATGCGCGCGTAGTGTGATGAGCACGAGTCATGCCCGCGTAGTGTGATGAGCACGAGTCATGCCCGCGTAGTGTGATGAGCACGAGTCATGCCCGCGTAGTGTGATGAGCACGAGTCATGCCCGCGTAGTGTGATGAGCACGAGTCATGCCCGCGTATTGTCGTGACGTCGCTGTCTTAGCTGTCGTGACGTCACTGTCTATTTGGTCCGCTCACCGGCGGTCGCTGCATCGCGGTTTTTCTCACGGTAAGACTCAGCCGTGCTGTTGTTTATCAGCGGACATGCACAGACGGAGAGCACCAGGTAACAATGGCCGTAAGCCATTTGAGTAACACAACCAGAATCTGGTCTGGCCGCAGCTGGGCTGCTCTATTTCCACGCGCTGATCTCGAAGCGCTAACAACGCTTAAAAAGGAAATAGTTATCATCCGTGGATGACTCAGTGCGTGTAACACAGGCCAGCACATCTTTTCTAAGACGAAGCAATGTGCCTGTATTTCCCAAGTAAGCATCCATTGTAGGTTGCCAGAGAAGCGAGATACTGGCGTTGCTGACCGTTCGCTGCCATACACTGGCAGCGGAATTGCCGACCTTTCACCCGCGCCTCGCACCAGACGGCGATCCTCCACGGACCACAGACTACGCCCACAGGCCTGTCGGTCAGCAACACCTTGACCCAGATGGCCTGGGCGGCTCCCGGACTGCGATCGACCCTCGAGCTGTAGCACCACAAAATGCCAATTGGACCTCATGACCACTAGGAGGGGGGATACGGCTCTATCTACCGATCATAGGCTAGCTTAATTACCGAGGCAGGTGACTGTAATTGATGTTGTTCGCTCACCGTGCGCGGGATTTATGGATGTCAGTCAAATGGCGCTAGCCTTCGCACAGGCCTCATGCTGCGCTAACCTTGACAACTTTACTTTCAGATCGATAAAGACATTGTGATCTTTTTCCTTTCAGTGGATTTTTTTAGCCCGACCCACGGAACGAGACAGAAAGATTGCTGCTTTCATACTTAGTTAACAACCAATATCACGTTTCATCAAACCGAAATAACAGGTCACTTTTAAAGCGGTGCAGTTTTAAAGTAGCGCCGCACGCGCCCGTGCTGTGACCATTAGGCTCCCCCACACCCTGCAGGCGACGAAATCACGAGCAGCCAGTCCGAGGTGCGACGGTGAGCGTCCGAGCTATTAACCCGGTTCCGACCGGCGGCAACGGGTCACCAAGGTCTGGGACTGTCAGTTGCGTGGTTTGCACGGTGTCACGGACGGTACGACCCGCCATCGGACGGTGCCGCCTCATGGACACAGGCGATGCAGGTCACCGGCTGACCATGTAGATGTAGAACTAAAGCAGACATTACCTCCTTCGCCACCTGGCTCAAAACCAAACAAAGACTGCTTGCAACACTCAAATCCAAATGTCTCTGCTTCTCTCGACCATTCGAAAGCTTGGCTTCCTCCCAACCCCAAATCATAGCCGAGTACGCTTTCATGGCCACACTTGACCACACCGGGCACCGCTAGCCAGCTGATGCCGGACCGCGCTAGATGCTTACCGGTCGTCACCAGCAGAAACTCGGCGCTGCGGTTCACGACGCCGCCGCCCGTGCCATCTCCGGCCGGGGGTCTGCGCCGGCACCGGCGGCGCCGCCCGGAGCCGGGAGCGCCCCCAGCCGGCGGCGACGCCCGGAGCCGGGAGCGCCCCCAGCCGGCGGCGACGCCCGGAGCCGGGAGCGCCCCCAGCCGACGGCGACGCCCGGAGCCGGGAGCGCCCCCAGCCGACGGCGACGCCCGGAGCCGGGAGCGCCCCCAGCCGGCGGCGACGCCCGGAGCCGGGAGCGCCCCCAGCCGGCGGCGCTCACCTTCAGTATTTTGTAGATGGACTCGCCCTCGTAGCCACCGCCCCAGCGGAGGCAGCGCGCCAGGTCATTGCCGGTGCCCAGCGGGATGACGCCGACGCAGGGCGGCTGCGCCAGCTGCACGCGGTCTGACGGCCACGACGACATAAAGCACCCGTCAGCCAACCGACCTGATGCCACTCGGCAGCCTGCCCCCTCACGCGTCATCACATGCGCGGCCAGCGACAGTGAACTGACTTTTCAGTCGTCACTCAGCATTGCTGGGCAACAAACACCAGTCGTTCGGCGCCCACCATCACCCATCTGACGCGGCCCGGAAGGGCAGTTGGCAGGGCACCATCACCCATCTGTCGTGGCCCGGAAGGGCAGTTGGCATGGCAAAGAAGATCCATAGCACGATTAGGTATGAATGCGCAGCGAATTTCGCTCAACAAACGCAAATGATTAAACCGTGACAGCTGCAACACGTACCAGTCACCACAGTGGGCATCAACAACAGAACAATGGCAGTGGACGCCGGCCATTCTTCTCAGCGACGTCACGCGTCTTGAAAGCGCCTGCTCCGGTTTCGTCAACGAACATCGCAATCGCCCTGCCAGGTGCAGTTCGCCGAGCTGCAGACGGGATCACGGGCGGGCGGCATCTGGTGCACTCCCCTTGTATCGTCGGGCCATCGGCATTATGGTCGGACGATGAGATGACATTAGCGATACGGCGAACGGGGCCGGGCTGAGGGATGCCGGGGTGATCGATGAGATGTCGGCGAGAGGTCGACAGGGAGGGGCGCCGCGCCGCCGGCAGGGGGCGCCGCCGCTCGCACAGCGCCGCCGGCTCACCCATGCTGTCCAGGATCCAGCCGATGGTGCCGTCGCCACCGCAGCAGATGACGCGCAGGTCAGGCACGTCCTTGAACAGCTGCAGGCCTTGCGTCGGGCCGCCCTTTGTCAGGTTGTACACTTGGCGAGGGTTCAGCAGGTACTGCAAACGGACGACAGGACGCGTTTACCACGTGGATGTCGTCAGCTTCGCACATGACTAACCAGATGGTCATCACGCGGCGGCAACTGCAGATGGGCACACTGCACTGGGGTTTTTCACAGAACACCACCTAACGCGCAGTCTCTGCTACTTTTTCAACTTATTTCCACTAAACGCATTTACCGCAGGGACACCTCTGGACCAAAACTGAAACTGTATTCACGGACTTGCGGGACTTGCGGAACTGTTCACGGACTCGATCCAGGGCCTGAAATGTCCTAGCAAATACAACACAGTCTGAGCCAAGCCAGGTGCCACTGGCATGCAATCAGCCGGCGGACCAACACCAAGTCAGGTGCCACTGGCATACATTCAACCGACGGACCAACGCCAAGCCAGGTGCCACTGGCATACAATCAACCGGCGGACCAACGCCAAGCCAGGTGCCACTGGCATACAATCAACCGGCAGACCAATGACATGACCGATCACCCTGTTTCGGCTTCAGTCGAACATGTTGCTACCGGACCATTGCATTCCACACGTCCTCTTTGATCATACTCATGCGGTACTACATACATTCTTTGAGCATCCTTTCTTCGTAACTACTTTGACCTTCGTCCGGGAGCAGCCCGATGACGTTAGTGTGACAGACGGCTTACAGCCAATGCGATATGAGGTTTGCACTGGCTCAGAGAGCAAACCGCACATCGACACCAAGGCTGGTCCAAACCGTTCCAGGGTAGTGAGAGTACTACGTGCGACCTACACAGCCCCAAATGACCGCTCTAGCCTCGTGGCCAGGGGTCAGCCGTGCGAACAGCGTCACACCGTGTGAAGTGTCCCAGAGCGGCGCTGGGCTGCGCCGGCCGGGCCGGCGTAGTCGGCCGTGACGGCGTCGTTAGCGGGGTCGGCGGAGGCCGCGGTCAGTGACGCCCTGCGGCCGCCCGCCCAGACACCAGACCCCCTGTGAGAGCGCGCGCCGCCGGCCCGGCGCGGTGCGCTTGGGCCCACCAGGTGACGGCTTCACGGCCGGCGCCGCCTGTGACCCGAGCCCGCGGCGTGCTGATGCAACCCCACCGCACCCGACCGAGTGCCAGCCAGCCACCAATGCCGGAATGTTCACACATGAAGTGGTCATGGCCGAATGAGCGGCGAACAATGTGGCAGGCATGCCCTTATGACGCGAAAGGGCACAATCGCATCTATACAGCACATCATGAACAATGGACTAACTGGCATACATCATTTACTCAATTGGTGCCAGCACAGCCGACTGCGCATGGATATTCAGATCAGTTTGACGTGAGTGGATTTTTGCGAAACCGCCGTCGTCCGCCTCTGTCAAACATCCCTTTAAAGGAAGACGGCAGGTTGCTAAACACAGCAGAGAAGTGTTCGCATATCAACGGTCCAACTCTTATCATCGTCGTACTTACACCCAGGTGACAGCCCGTCTTCTGATGGCGGGATCAATTCATTGAAAGCACATAGAAAAGACAGCTGGACATTCGCGGAAGGGTGGTGTCCCCCTAGCAGCGGGAGAAGATGTGGGTCCTTGCCCGTTCGGCGGAGGTTGCTCCCGCCGCGGCCTCCGCTCGGTCCGCCGTTCGGCCGGCAAGGTCGCCAGTTGCTTCCGGTCGCCGGGCGGCGGTCCGATCCTCTCCATCACGGGGCTAGGGGAGTGGCCCCGGCCCGGTGACGGCGGGCGGGGCGGGGCAGCGCGAGGGTCACCTAACGGCTGTCCCGACCCCCTCCCTTTCCCCGCCCCCGAACCGCGGCTTCGCTCCACTCACGACAGGGGATGGATCGGCGACCTTCACAGCGCTCGCCGGTGGCAGCGGACGTGATTCGCTGACCTCAGACAGAATCTGGACCACTCGGTGAAGCAACACAAGCTGACGCAAATCGGCAGGCAGCTCAGCGAGACGCCCCTCCCCTCCCCCTGTCCCTGCCACCCAGCACCGCAGCCGCGACACTGCGCGGGCTGCGCTGAGCGGGGAGGCCAACACATACGCTTCTTCGATCCAGCTCGGCTCATGTCACCGTTCATCAAGGACTCCTTCACATCACTTAAGTGCGGCCAGTTGTACTGTAGGCCTGCCCTGAACGGCGGCTTGGTCTGCTGGCTTAGGCGACGATGCAAGCAACGTTATGCTTCCGAGACTATATCAATTAATGGGCGATCCGTCCCAGATCTAAGACTCCGAAAGCACCAGAAAGGACGCATAAGCTCAGTGGAAGTATACGTCTTGTGCGGCGGAGGGAGAGCGCGTTAATGACATGTGTGAGCTCACATGTCAGGTGCGTAATGCCAAGCTAAAGCAAGTAAAACCAGGCGCCTTCAGCAACCCATACCGGTTGGACTTATCGAGACACTGACATCTATGCATGTTCCTGAGAGCTCATGCAAGCAGCACTGGACAGCTGAGCCGGTATGGAGCCTCACCGACATGGCGTTCCAGCGCTAGTGCGCAAATCACGCTGTTTGACAACAGCTGGTATTTGGGCCTGGTAATGCACATGCATTCCAATCGGCTAAATCGATGGATCTAGAGCAGCTAACGTCATCGCGACAATGACGGAAGTGTTGCGATAACCTGTTGTCTTGGGAGGATATTGGTCACGGTGGCCGCAACCCCGGTAGCTTTGATGACCCGATGTCTCTCGAGTCACGCCATATCCCAAGCCATTCCCGATCTGGTTTAACAAGGGGATATCGCCTGCTTCCCGGTAGCTTGCTGGCCAAGCCCTGCTGACCTTGGTAATGGTGGGCAGAGCGGGCTAGCTTCGAGTTTTGAACTCGGTACATTCGCTGACACCATGGAGATGGTTTCCAGTCTCCCTCGACATGTCGCCGGTACCTGACCCCGATCATTGAAAACGCTCAAAAAGCCGGCGGAGGCGTGGCTTGTGCTAAAGTGCGCGTGACGATCTGCTTGTATTTGCACACACACTATCTCCAGTTCGGTCGCTCGTCTTTCTTCTATCTTTTCACAGGAACTTGCAGCTTTTACGCTCTCTAAATCACACGATTAGGTTTGCCAACAAGTAGCTTTGAGCCAAATATGTAGAGTTGCGACATGTTGGTCTGACATACTTGGAATATGTTTGTAGAAGCTCTCTCTTTACAATGTAACCGTCCTGCAACATTTTGGCCTTCACTAATGCGAACTAGGAGGCGAGCACTACAGAGTGATCTATCCATTAGGTTGAACGATATTCTTGTCACAGCATTAACTCCTACCAGGAAGCGTGCCATGAATTACTTCTACTGCCCATGCTTATGCGCGACTAAGAGCTACGCAGGGACAGCTATGCACCAAAAACTTACATCCGGTTCTCCTTTACAGCAAAAACTGATGCTGTGTTTTTCCCTAAGCCCTGGTGATATGCGATGTGTCCCGCGCGCACCATTAATTCTAGTGCCAATAGTTACACGCGACATTAGTGTTACAAGGCAGCAATGTATACTGATACTCGTGGATTTCTTACTCATACGTTACGCTACTTACACTTTAGTGTATATGAACGGCCGACATGAAAGGGAGCGGGGTAGTTTTAGACGGGACTGGGTGGGAGGGACTGGACAACGCGGAACTGGACGTGGTGAGACGGCGCAGATTGGGACGGGCGCAACAGGGCAGACCAGGGCAGCGCAGAGAAGTCCAGGAGGGGACAGGACAGGAGATGGCAGGGAAGGACAGAACAGGACATGACAGGATAGAACAGGAAGGGACAGGACAGGACAAAATAAAACAGAGGGCAGGGGAAAGGACAGGACTGGAAAGAAGAGAACAGGACAAGATAGGAACGCTATGAGGACAGGACAAAGGACGAAGAAGGGAGACGAGAAGACATGTTAGAGCGTTGTAGGACGGGACCGATCTGAAGATAGGACAAGGTAAGACTGACCTTGCTTGGTTTTTTTCTGTCTTTTCGCCGGTCCTGCACTCTGCGCTCTGCCCTCTACACTCTGCTCATGGCCTGAATGAGTTGGTCTTCGCCCAGTCCTGTTCGCTGTCGTACACTGCCCTCCATCCCGCACTGTCCTTTGTCCTATTTACATGCATTCTGTGCCCCCCCCCCCCCTGCGTTGCCTTTGATCTTGTTCTGTCCCCTGCCCTGTCCTATTCGCGGTTCTACCCCCTTCACGCCTCCCCCTGAACTATGTGTACCCCTTCAAGGTCCTGCCTTCCTCTCTATCGCCATCTGCGCTACCAAATGGGAGGACCGAGGGCAGAGAGCCCTGTTCTTTTCTCCAGCCTGCCTCTTTTCAGCCTTGCCCTGACCTCTTCCCCCCTTTTTCCCCCAGTCATGTCTAAATTATGAGCTGTCATAAGCACACGCTTTGGTCTCTTCTTTTGATCGTTGCTGTTCTTGTCCTTTGACGCGCCAATTGCTTAGGTCTTCTCGCGCCTTAGACTATCCTCAAATCTACCCGCTGCCCTGCTCTTCGTGCTGCCCTCTGTGCTGACCTCTATACTGTCATCTATCCGTCTTCTCTTCTGTTGCGACATCTCTCCCCGGTCCTATGCTATCTGTCCCCGGTCCGTCCTTGTTTCGCCTTGGACACGGTACAGCACGATCGCACTTTTTGTGCTCTGCATCTGGTCATGCCGCACGATAAGATGGGATTGTTGTTTTAGTACATTATTGTGAGTCTAAGCTGTGAGTGGCTGTGTCGCTATCGGGAGGTAGGCCGTCAATTTTGCATGTTTAAAGGATGGTTTAAAGGATGGCTTAGTAACCGCTGAAATTTGTTCGCTGAAACAGAAAACATTTTTTAAGTTAGGCTCCAGATGAAATTATCCGATCGCTTAAACGATTGCAGCCGGAGGTATGAAATAAGACAAAGTCATAGGCTGCCCAAGAGCCAATGCGAAGGTCAAAATGTGTAGATATCCAGCCTGGACGCAGGAAAGATTCGCCGGTTCGAGCTGAGTCCCAGTTGGGCAATCCTAGAATAAAAAGCCCGTGGAGGCCATGCGATCAATAAT